GCTATTATGTCGAAACAACCACCTAAGTGGCCTGGTTACGCATCGGGCTAGGAATGGGTTATTATATCCGGTGGGCTTCTTCCAAATCTGTATGGGGTTGGGCTATTATGTCGAAACAACCACCTAAGTGGCCTGGTTACGCATCGGGCTAGGAATGGGTTATTATATCCGGTGGGCTCCATACAAAATTACAAGATTTATTGTAACAACAAATTCGGGAGAGCCTGAATATATTTTTCAACTTCTGTTTCTACCCAACTCTTACATTTCTTTTTAGGATCAAGCAAAAACTGAAAATGTTAAAGCGTTCTGGCTGGAGGTTGATCTGGAAAAATCTAAGAAATTGTCAAATGCGATTCTGGAGAAGAAGAAAACTGAACTAAAGCAGAAGGACATGGATATAAAACTAACAAGGGCATGTGACGCTATGAGAATAAACGTATTTTGCAAAAGCCTTATTAATTTTGTTGCTATTTTTCTTATCTGTAGGCCGAGTTTGTGGTGGAACATTCACTGGCAGGGAACGAAGCGCACAAATTATTAAATCATCAAAGATTAAATTTTATAGAGAGCTTGAACGATTCTATAGGTAAGAGAGTAATACAAGTTTTATTGTGAAAGATTTACGACTAGGTCAAACTTATTTTTGAAAACCTTAAATGTAGGTCCTCTAGTTGGTTATGTCGATGGCGAAAAAGATAAAAATGATGGTGATCACACTGAAGTAACTATTTATGTCAGAGTATTGTGTGCTTTGTTTTGTTTTGAAATTCTTATACTATAAAGAACCAAATCTAATAGGTCTAAAACCCTAAATTCGATATAAATCTCATAATCTCTAAAACACATATAATCAATAAAATGACCAGTTTAGCTGAAAGACGTGGAACTAATTGCACCGATGCTGAATGGGAAGAACTTTTGAAGATGCCTCAAGTTCGTGATAACGAAACTCCTAGCGAGTGGATGGACCGAATTTGGCCACGCTTACAGTATTTCAGGGAGAATGATCTATTACCCACTGGAAGTAAAAAATATCTCGAAGCTAGGAAGTTAATAACATTTTGGTCTGAGGTTAATGGATTTTATTATAGCTATGCGCCCGAGATTGGAATTGCTATCTGCTTCTCTTGCGATCAATTGGTATATACCGGAAAACGAACCAAGAATATTGGAAATTATAACCATATAGGAATGGAGAGGCATTGGGCTTCCCATTGTACAGGAAATAGCTTTTGCGGTGTAAGTTATAAGGGATATTCACAAGGAATTGAGCAAAAAGCTATTTATGGTTATAAGTATGATAATGAATATGCATTGCATCGATATGGATTATGGATGCAGAATACCATTAAAAGAGTTAAGCGTGCCAGAGAGGTTGGACAAAAAATTCAAGCTGTAAATGTCATATCACAGAAATGGCTTGAATATATGTACAGACCTGACGGTCTCTCTGCTTCAGAATTAGCATCGCATTTTCAATTATTATGGACAATTCGAGAAGAAAGGTGACAAGTTAACAATGTATAGACCGTATCGGTAAAGCAATACACATATCTATTTATTATATAACTTATTCATATGTATATCCCGCCTTCTCGTGACTCTATCACTCGAAGCCAGAAAAATAGATGCGGAATATGTCACGTACAATAGATAACGACGCATATCTTTTTTCCAAACATTTTTTACTTTGATTTTTATATATAGTTGTTTTACCCGACACAAAAAACCCTCTCGATACAAATAGACTTTATTTATTTTTCAACATCTACTTCAACCTCAATCAGGCTGGATACTGATAGCTATTTCATTGGAGAATAGTTGCGAATAAGATGTTAAAACCATCACTCTAACTTCACATCTGCGGATAAGATCAGCTTCTCAATAATATAAGAAGTGACAGATAGATGTATTTTATTAATGTGTCAATAAATAATGGGAAAAATAATTATCTGATTGTTTTAACCTTGGTTTATTCGTCTAATGTCAAAATTTTATCCCAACCAATTCGTACTCTATGTGGATGTTCAGGAGGTACACTTAAATCGAAAACAATAAATTTATGTTCACATAGATGCTTATTAACAAGTTTATAGATACTACACCAGTCATTAACATATAAACGAAGTATTCTGCTTAACTCATCTGAGGTAAAAGAGCCGTTAAAAAGTACAAAATATTTTAAGTTTTTTCTTATTGGTTTTGGGCAGTCAAAATAGCTTTGTGATATATACATTGAACTAATATTGGAGTTGCGTCCCTCAGTAAAATAAGGTATAATCTTATCCTGGATTTTTTTCGATTCAGTGCATACATCCTCAAATATAGCTACGGTGCCTCTTTCTGGAGAAAATTAATCTAGTTTTGGAATTTTATCAGGCTTCATAGCCCAAAATGTAATATCTTCACGATGTGGCTCTGGACTATTTGCGATTATTTGAAAAGCCAATTTAACGTACATATATTTGGGTTCCTTGAGATAGTGTCCAATAAGTATGACATAATCACACTTAATATCTCGGCTTCCTCCTTTTTTCCCATTAAACATCCGATAGAGTTTATTTTCAAGCAAAATATTAACAACTTCAGTAGTTTTGCCTGAGTTAGTCCGACCACAGATTAACATTGTGAAAGGCCACTGAGGACTTGAGTTTTTTGAGTTATATTTCTCCGGATTCTTGTATTCATCGATAGGATATGCATATTTCTTGACTGGTTCAAGCTTTTCTATTTTCATCTTGATCAAGCTAAGTCACTAATTATTATACCAAAAAATAATGGCATAGATTACTACTTATTCCTAAACAAAATTATGTTTATCGTTTTTGATTTATAAATTAAATACTACATATAGCAAATATATAAATGGCTGAACTTTGTGAATAACTTTCTGAATTTATAGGTTTCAAATCTGATGAGATTCATTTTCCAGAAACAGAGAGAAATCAACAACTATTTTGAAAAATTATTGCAGATCAAAGAATGGTAACTAATATTGTGTAAAATGATTTTCATTTCTTGCTCTGTACTGAACATAATGGTAAAGGAAATTGATTAATATATATCAGGTGGTTAATATGTATAATGCGAAAAGAATATGAAAAAATTTTGTTAAATATCCCTTATGACATTATTAATAAAATCATAATGCATCTTCAATATAAATTCAAAGACATTCCATTGGCACCAATAGTAAGGTATCTGAATATCCCATCGCAATTACATTCAGAGTATAATATTATTTAGCATGTTAGCAAATAAGATAATATCAATTATCATGTTCATTAATACCTGTATTTTTTAAATATTCTTTTTTAAGCAATTTACTTTTGATATAGGGGAATAAGTCACATGTATATGATATTTCAAGAAGATCTATACACTCTCTTTCATATATATCATATCTTACTTTTTTGATCACACATCAGTTGGCTATTTAAATCTATCTTGCCTTGCTTATAGAACATTGAATTCTTGGAAAAATTATAGATGCCCTGAAATTTGAATACTAATTTTAATTCTTCATTATATCTGTCTAATTGCATCCCATTCAAAAATAATAATTTACACAATAGAAATTTTTTACTAAACAGATCTTTGAAAATATATCTCACAGATTGCTCTTCTTTAAAATAAGGACATAGGAGTATTATTCAAATTGATGCTTTTGAATTTTATAAGGTGCATACCACTAATGCTTTACATTTTTACATGATCAAAGATATACATCAGAACTATTTATTTGACTAGTTTTGACAAGATATTTTTCATTGTGTTTCTTTGCATATACAGTACTTCAGCCTTAGCCATTTCATTAATAATATGAATAAAATTAATAGACTTAAAATAAGTGTTTTCTTCCAATATACTCTAGGGTAGATACTGAAGGTTTTCTAGATCTATATATATCAGCTCTTTTCTTACAAATTCATATAATGGAGCATATTCTCCATCTAAATAATATAAAACTGGTTTGTTTTTTTTTTACCATAATTTTGTGGATTTTAGATAAAGAAGGGCTCCAAATTTCATCCATTGCATATTTTTGATTTTCCATACCTCCTTTCCACTTTATATTAGTAAGTAAATACTGAATGGTATCTCTATTTTTTAATTTTTCTTCATCTTTACCAACTGAATATTTATATTTTGTAGATAATCTAAACTCTACCCTATCCAATTCAATTGTCTTCATGGGTGCTAATCCCTATTTCTTTGATCCTGGCACTTGTATAAGTCATGTTGGATAATTATTCAAATATTCAAGAACTTTTGGATTCCTGAATATACTTTCAATAGTGGGTTAAACTTTGTATAGCATCTCTACTAATGTTTTACAAAACCTGTCTATGATTGCAAGTTCTTGATGAGAGTACAGACCTATAACTCAGATTGTAACAGTATGTACTTCTATTATTTTTGAAGTTTAAACCATAAATTCTCTAACAACATCATATTGTAATAAATCAGGTCAGGTAAGAAAAATGTTTGAATTATTATAGATTTTCTTAAATGCTTTGGCAACTTTTGAACTGTTCTTAGATATTATTGGAACAGCCTATTAAAATGAGATACAACATCTATAATAGTAAGTACCTATTTATATATCTTTTTATTAATGGTATCATTTATAAGGTACAATAAATTATACATATATATACAGTTTGGATGTAAAATTTTTCCATAACTTATCCATAGAGTAACTGAGCTTTATTGATTTTGGAATTTTGTGAGGAGTACAGATTAGATTACTAAAGATTGGACTTATAACTATTGTACTATACTATCCTTTCTTTATTCAATATAATCTGATTTTATCTGTTTCTTAAATGAGTACTATCTTTGTTAACTACCCTGCTCTGCCTAGGTATCTAGCATTCTGAGAAACCACTAGAGACTACCATTTATTATTCTTTAAGGAGCATTTAATATGATATATTCCATTGAATATAATTGGATCTTGATATGAAATATGTTTGAACTTTGTATAACATATGGGCTATATGTAGTTTTCTTCAGATACTGGGTCCTTTAATGTTTCAATCTCTATATAGTCTAAGGTAGAGCTTCTGGCAATCCTTGCTAAACCTAGTGATAACCTGAGTCTTTCAAATAATTATTCTTAACTACTCTTCAAAAATAGGCTACAAGAATTTTCCTTAATCAAATAAGACCCTGGACCTCTCTCAAATATATCTATCCAAGTAGTTCCTATTATGAAATTATGTTATTACAATCCTAAACTAAATAAGCTTCATCACTCTGATAATTTAGTAACTAGTACAAACAATTGAAATCTTTCAATATCTCCCATGAGTATGGTAATTTGAAAAGAGATAGATTCTATATCAAATTGATAGGATCGTGGATGATCAGTATTATTTCTGGCATTCTTTTGATAGTTTCACATATTCTAGATATCATGAGTATCATAACTTCTTTTGTGTAATACTAAAACTGATCAGAACCTATATGATTTGATTTATTGTACTGTAATTGAATAGTAATATCTGATAAATTGGATGTATACAAGGATGTATATAGCTTAATATATATATATTCTATATAACATGACTTATATATTGTAAAT